ATTTCTGTGACACCTCATGCATGTGTGGGATGTTCTATGTGTTGCATTTAAGACTGTGTCTATTTTATCATTTATATGACAATGGTTTTCCATATCTATTTAAGGCATTATGAAATACTGCTAATGTATTTGAATAAAGCACATTTCTATTGTCTTTCATTTTCCAAGGCTTTATGCAAATACAGGGTGCAAATGTTATATGCAAGGAAGAGTTTATCAGAATTTCATGTTAAGCAAGTTTTTGACAATTTTTAAGTTGCTTGGGAATGGTGTCAAACCACAGTCCTATTTTACCAAGAGCTTTTGGAAGATCAGCTTTAGGCTGAAGCAGTCAGTGTGGTGTTATACAGAATTCCAGTCAACCAGCCAGTTAATCATGGGTCATAAAAATACCTATGTGGGATGTTAGGGTTAATAGAAATCTGTACTGGGAGTTGTCAAATAAAAAGCCTAATGGAAATCAGCTGATGAGAGACTGTAGTGCAGACTTTCATTTAGTTAAGGTTTTACCTTTGTCTCCTCTTTCAGGTTCTCCCTTTTAGTGTCAAAGAAATTGGCATGGTACACTGGAAAAATATAAGGAAATTTAACTAGTGGATGTGTTGGGATTACCTTGGGCTGGTATTATATTGTGCTTTTTAGGTTTTCAAATTCTCTCTAAGATTGACGTAAAAGGCCAATGAAAATTTTACGGAGTCATATAAATGCCAGACCTTTCTGAATGGTACAGTGTATTCCCCAACACATTTCAGCTGAGGGTCCTAAAATACAGAAGCACATTTAACATTTAGTGTGTGTTTCTGTGAGTACAGAAGACCTCTTATACATTGAATCAGAGTCTTTCAGTAAACATTTAAAAGTTAATGGCAGCCATTTATGGACGTGTGTGGGATAAGTGTAGAAGTGCAAGTATTGAAAGCATCAGCATCATTTATCCTGTTGTATCTCCTAGCATTTATTCTAATGCCTGCTTTAAAAGTTCTATTAGTTGTCTATTAAGTAAATAGCAACGTTCTCAGAGAAAAAGCTTATGGTCTGTTGTTTTGAAGTCCTTGACAAAAGCATTGTGAAGTGGTGTCCAAATACATTTGCTGGAGTAAAGTTTCAGATAGTTAAAGGAGGTGGAAGGGAAAATTAATTATTATTATAAAGTTACTGCAATATGTTTAGATTTTAGGCCTAATTTGTTAAATTTCAAAACAAGTTTTTATTTACTTACTTTTCAAAAGTGTGATGCCTGCAAATGGTTTAATTTTTCCCTCTCCCATGAGAAAAAGTATTTTCTATAATGCCATGTCTGTTTTCATAGTGAAAAAATTAAAAAAGGACGAAAAATTGTCTGCCTAGAAGCTTAACAAAATAAAAAAACTGATTAAGGTTTCTTTTTTTTCTCCATTAGTTTTTAAAAAAATCAATTTTTGGTGAGTGGTACAGACAAGCTTTTTTGTGCAATTACATTCTGCCTCTTTTATTTGATAAGAAAAAGTTAAAAGCTACACATGGAAATTGAATTTTAATTCTAATATAGAAACCACATTTCACTTGCTGAAAAGTAGAGCACATACAAATACTGAGTAATTTGCTTGGGTTCCTGAGAAAAAAATAAACATTAAATGATTGTAGCAACATCAGCAGCCTGTATTTAGATAGTTTTATTCCTGTTTTTTGAACACATGAAAACTTTTGCTTATTATTATTGAACATAGATAAAAATATTTTTTCTGGGTTTATTTAATGTACAGGGATGATGATCACCTACTCTATATCTGGTCATTTTCTGTGTCAAAATTATTCTTGCCTTGTACACGTCTTTTATGTCTTCATATATAAAAGGCAGTATACAATACATAGCCCTAACACTTACCTGAATTGTAAATAATATTTTAAAATAGAATTCTTTTATATGGGCTATGCTTGCACACAGAACAAATAAATAAATGAAATAAAGAAAGAAAGCAAGAAATAAAGGCATTGATTATTTGGTAATTTGATTTTCTTTAAGTCATTTGAAAAATGAGATCTGTATTTTAAATACATATTTTGAAAATCATATGTATATAGATGTCTGAGCTTCTGTTCGCAGAAACTTGAAAAAAAGGGTGGATAAAACTGTTTAACAAATGAAAGCATTAAGAAAATCAGACGGTTTAATTCATACACTAACGGAGCCTGAAAGCTTTGAAAATAACAGAAATTTCACCAAATTTAGTGATTCATAGACTTATTTTGTTATATAGCTTGGTCATATAGCTAGGGGTTTTCCTTTTGTGCAACCCCTGTAAGTTATTGTGCTCTGGTATCTGAGTGAAAAGATATTACAATTCTGTGAAGGAATATGACAGCATCACTTCAGAAGATTAAAACAATTCCCAGCTGTACATGTGTACAATTTCTCCACATTTCTTAAAATTATTTTGTTGTTGTTGACATAGCTCTCAAAGCAAATGTGCTACTGTTGTGATTCAATTTAAAAGTGTATCTGCCTCTCTGTGAAATATGCTTTTGCACAATTATATTTCTTGATGGAATAGTGATTTCTTATCACTACATCCTGGTTTATACATACTAAAATGTGGCATGTTTGATCTGGAGTATGACATAAAGCATATTTTTATTATGCTGCACTTTCTAAAATAACACAGATTGCAGAATACCCTATAGTCACTTGGTGTCAAGTCTAACGAAATTCCTATTTAGCATCGACTGTTTTCGTTTCAGATGTTTTGACAGAAGTCAGCCGTGTTAAGTGCTTTCCAAATAAGGCTCCAGTAGCTTGGCCGTAACTTGATCTGTGTTTTGTTTCACTGTGTTGTCTGCTGACCTAGAGAACACTTGCATTAGCTGCATTGATCAGTGCACCTCACATCTCCTCATTTAGGAGACAATTAATACTGTGTTGTAAAGACTCCCCAGAGCATTTTGTTAGAGCTGGATTGCTTTATGCAGAAACCACAAGAGTTGTTTGCAAAAGGGAAAGGGAGCCAAGTAGGAAAAAGAAAAAATGCACTAAGAAAGCTTTGTCTGGAAACCAAAGTTGCGTTTGCTGTGGTGGCTTCCACTTATGTCATTCGAACTCCCTTTTCTGATGGAGCATTTGGAAAAGAAAATTAACTGTATTTTCAGTTGTTTTGTTGAAAAGACACTGTAAGAGGTCACATAAATATTCTAAAAATCTTCCTCTTGAAAAATGTGCGTTTGATTGTGAGACTTGTATAACTTGCTGTTGAGTGTAATATTTTAACTTCATATTTTATCTCAAGAATTATTGATTGACAGCTTTTGAAATATTGATTGACATGTTTTAATCCCAATATTGAATATGTTTAAATAACATACTTTGATAAAGAAAAAAGTGTGTTATTGTTTTGTTGTAGTGCTTTTTTCAGAGTGTTGAATTTCAGTATTGTCTGATAGTCTTTCTTAAGAGAAGTCAGATTTTAAATAAGCTCGAATATATTAACAATCAGGCAGGGCTCTTAGTGTGCTCTTCACCTTGAGTTAATAAAATATTGAACATTAGAGATATTCACAGAAGCAAGGGAGAAGCATTTGCTACTAAAACCCATTTTTGTTCTTGCAGATTACTAAGGTTTCCATACTATTCTCTGTTAAAGACTATGTTGTAGTATATATATAATGACATAAAATTGATAGTAAGGGAATTTTAGGGAGGAGGCTACTTACCTGCCTGACACATTTCTGCAATCTATGTATTGCCTGTGATTCTGTGCAGATTGCACAATGGTAATGAGGCCAACTAACATGTTCTGGACTTCAGAAATTGTTGCAAACTTGTTAGTATTTGCCACATCATTACCTTGCATTTTCAATTTTTTAAGCAGAGTGAATGAATTTTACATGATAAAAGATCCATTTGTGATCTTGTGAATAATATTTACTAGGAGTGCATAAATGACAAAAATTATTTTTGTGGCAATTTCATGGCACAGATTTGTTATTTGTTTCCCCCTCACTGTAATTGTGAAGTAAAATGTACACTGACATTAAATAGAGACATGAATCTGGCATATCTTTGCATCACACTCAGTATTATGATATTGCTATGTTTTCAGGAATACATTAATATCTTGATAGTTCATGTTATAATTTTCTTCTGTTAGTGGAACTGCTCTACTTGAATTTGAAGGCAACATTGAGGTGATAAAAAATCAATAAATTGTGTATGTTGGAACTGTAAAGAATGTGTTTGTGAAAGCATGTATTACATGAAATTTCACAGCAGTTTAACTTGGGCATCTAGGTTGTCTTGTGTTGGCTTTCCTTCAGAACAAAAGTGGAAAATACAATATTCCCTTTTAAGTTCTTGAGTTTTGTGGGTTTTTTTCACAACTGATGCTAGATCCTGTTTTTCAAATCAGAACTGGTTTTCTGGAACCTATTTAAGTGGTTTGATATGTGAAATTCATAATATGGATTGTTTCAGTGAATTCCCATATTTTTGTCCTTAGGATCGATACTGCGGGATTTTATATTCTTTCTCTAGTGAGAAGGTATCAAGGTGTAACCCAATTATGTAAAAAGGCATTTTTTGCTGTACATTAAAGCCATATGAAATCATCTAAAATGAGCCTCATCACAAAAAAAAAAAAATAAAGGAAGTATTTTTCCACAGTTCTGCGTCCATCTTTAGCCATCCTGTAGATAGTTTTAATTAAGAAATCAGTAAATAAGAACTGGTGTGAGTTCTTGTAGCACAAATGAAACAATATCAGTTTGGAAAAAGGTATGAATATTCTAGTTGATATTATCCAGCTTGACTTGGAAAGGTACATATCTGTTGGATCTACATAAATAGGAGTTGTTTAAAGCATCGTCATATCATCAGTATGTTTTCTTCTGGATATCTCTCCTTTCATTTGTATGTTTATGGAGGCATTGCTAGTTGGTTTTGCAAGGTTGCTTTTGAGTGCCATCTTTGTGCCCTAATTGAAGTTGTTTGAAGAATCCACTTCATTCAGATCAATTTTTGGTACTTGCAGGTACTACAGAGCGGGTGTGTCTGATCCAGGGAACAGTTGAAGCACTAAATGCGGTTCATGGCTTCATTGCAGAGAAGATTCGAGAAATGCCTCAGAATGTGGCCAAGACAGAGCCTGTCAGCATTCTACAGCCTCAGACCACTGTTAATCCAGATCGCATCAAACAAGTGAGTTTTTGGTTGGGAATAGAGAGTCACAGCAGCACCTTACAAGTCTTAAAAACTTAGGTCTGCAAAGGGTCAACATAACATGTTCTTTAACAAAACGTCATTTTGCACTTTAGTACTTGCTGGTCCTCTTTTTCCTTATACTTAGATGTTCCATGTTTCTAAGCAGTTCTTTTAGACAGTGTTTTCTAAGTTTCAATGCCATGCTTTAATGTATTTCTTTCATAAACTTTTCTCTATAAGTTGATAATACGCTTCTAGGTTTTAGTTAAAGATTGCTGAATTTTAATATTAAATGGTGAACCTCTGTGTAAATCTTTATCATTACTAAAAATCACATATTACTTTTGTGTATATAAATAAAACCAAAAATGTTTTGGGTTTTTTTTTTTTTTTTAGATCCTAAATTAAATACTTTAAAATCTCACCTATAAGAACTTGTAAATATAAAGATATTTTAGTTGAGATGTTTTTACAATTACATTTTATGCTGGTTTTGGCACCTTTTGCCTATTTTACACTGACTTCTTTCAAAATCTCAGGGAAATGCAAAATACGTTTGCAAGGTATCATTGCAAATTTTAACTTCTAAAAAAATTGCTCTGTAAGGACAATGGGAAATATGTCTTACAGGATTTAAAATTATTTTCTATATTATTGAATAAGAAAAGGATGAAGAAAGAAATGAGTGAACATGAGTAAAATTTTGTCTTGTCTCTATCCTGTATAGGATAGGTTTTAGTTTCTTCCCTGTCCTGTGTGAGAAAAGATTGTTTCGTCCTTCTACACTAGCGGGATTCCATTTCCTATAAAGTAATTTAGTAACTCTGTTCAATTGCTTTACTTTGTATATAGTGACACACACAGAACACTTATGTGAAGATGTGCTTGAACAGGATGAGCTTGGAACAATCAGACTGCTTTAGATGAATGAAACTGCACATAAGCCATTGTATACGATTTCTAATATTTACTACTATATTATGTTTTCTGTATGCAATACTTTTACATAAAAATTGCTCTAGATTATTTATAAGGAAATACCAAAAAAGAAAAGTTCCAATTTTGTAGGATTAGTTTCTCAATTATTAGATGTGAAAATGCTTATGTCTGAAAGAGACAGAAAAAGCAGAAGCAGTCTATATTTTGAGTGCCATTTTTGCTCATAAAATACTAGATTTTATGCCAAGACTTCTCAACCCAATGGGAAATGAGTGTTCTCTATTAACATGAAAAGCGTTTTTCCCCTTTGCAATGAAATTAAGCTAATTTTTAGGTAAGTCAGTAAGGTACTGAGAAACTAGATTACAGAGCTGTTTAGTGACGTGCCTAAATACTCCTTGTCTTGTATCTGAAGATGATTCTATGACATGTCTTGTCCTCCACAGTACTTCTCCAGAAAATGTATTTGGAAAGTTGTTGAGGATTGGGTTGTTTTTTCTTTTATTTGGGGGAGTGGGGATGCTGGATTGTTTGTTTGGTTAGTTCTTGCTGTTCGGGTTTTTTTCTTTTTCGTTTTTGTTTTTTTTTTAAGTTCAGTTGTTTTGAGGTTTGCTGGTTTGGAATGTTAAATTTAATTCTGGAGGGATGAATCCATGAACACAGTCACTGCTAATGAAGTTAAGACCCAGACTAAAGTACAATGTATAAGACTGTTATTTAGTGATTAGCTCTACATCTTAAAATTTTAATACATTACCTGTATACATACAGGTGCATAATAATATAACTCTAAATATTATGAGATATGCGTGTGCATATGTTGAACAGTTTTAACCACGATGAATTGTTTAAATTCTCTTTTAATGAATCAACATCTATTCATGATAATTTAATACACTATAAATATTGACCCAATAAATGTAAAATCCATTATTTTTACCAAAAAATTAAATCAGTAGCTTAGCTCTTAGAAAGAGTTTGCAGAGAATTAATCTGTCCTCCAATGTCAGAATATGCTGTACCTTAATGAAAGATATATACCTCAATTTAAGAATTAAAAGGGTAATATTTTATAACAGATTATCATGATTTAGAACTCGAGTGCTGTTATTTTTTTTAATACCAGACAGATCACAATTTTATTAAAATGATCAGGATAATGTCTAATACAAGTTATTTTGATTTTTTTTAAAAAAATAAGCCTTATGAATTGCAATTTCTTCTTTACACAAAATTTTACATGGTTTTTCCTGTCTTAGGGTGTTATCCAAGAATATTGGTACACAAAGTATTGCATTGCAGATTAAAGAAAGATTTGAGATGGAGAGTTGATTTGAAATAATAAATTTTACCTTCATTTAGGAACTCTGAAGATGTTTCTACCAAAAAATCAAAAGTAGTTCCCTCCCTGTGAATGAAGATACCAGTATTTGAAGCCTTGCAATGCCACCTGTGTCCATCTGAGCATACAGCTCTCATTTCTTATTTGCATTTCTTTGTCTTGGTCTGCTTTACCAACACTCACCTCAGAGAAGAGAGCTAGGAAAGACAGTATCTTCTAGCTATAGATTCAATGAAGAAAGGCAGTAGGTAAAACCTTTGCTGACTACTTGAGTTTCAGCATTTTCTGTCTTCAGGAAAGACATGAGACTCACAGAGACCAAGTCTGGCCTGGTATTTCTCCTTACTAGTGGAAGTCACTATCTGAACGTTCTGTCTCTTTAACTTCAGCTTTTTCAGCTTCAGAAGATTTGCAAGCAAGTCTATGTGGTTCCTTCTGATCCTTCTCCAGTATGTTTTTCTGCGTCTCCTAACCCTAACTATGGACTTACCAGTAGATACCAGGTAGTTCTCTCCTCCAAGCAGGTCTGATAGATATTTAATTGGCAAAATGTTTGCATGTTTTATCTCTACTCAGCAGAGACAATCTCTTCATAGATGTTAGCCATCTGCTATTTCTAAGTATCATCCAACAGTAACCAACTGATTCCTGTGCCCTTTTACTTCCCAGAAACTGCTATGAGCACCTAACCTCCCTTTTCTCCCTTTATTAATTGCAGTGTAATACCAAACCACTCGGGGGAACAAAATATAGTTTTCATAAAGTGATCATGAGCCTTCAGTTGTTTTGTCTGTAATTAGCATGCAAAGCTTTAAATTTCACTGCTAAATTAATAGCAGCTTCTATGAACAATGGAAAAGGCTGTTTAATTTGGTGTTATAACATCACCTTATTCAGAAATTATTACAGCTTCTTGTAGGCTAGTTGAATTTTCCTTCCAGCTTTCAATTGCTTTACAGGTAGCAGGTGTTGTATCAGCCTGTCCAGAAGCACATGGAAGCAGAGATGGCTGTTGCAGAACTGTGCATTCTGTGGCTTCAAGTAGGAGTTTGCACTGTTTGACCTTCTAAGATCCCTTCTAACCTGAATCATTCTTTGATTCTATGAAATGTTTAGTTATCAAATCATAGGCAACGGGTTTAGAATTTCTTCCTTGAAAATCTAGGTTAAAACTGTCACATATAGGACTTACAATTAAAGTTTTCATTGGAACCAGTTTAACTTCAACTTTTTCAGCAGTGAATTGATGTCTCATGGGTTAAATTTTTGTTTGTTAGTCATGGTCCCAGACATTATATTCCAAATCTTCAGAAGTGAATGTCTGAATTCAGATTTGTAATCTCACATTCCTCTATTGAAAACAACTGTTTGTTCATAATTTTTAAATAAAAAGTAATACCTTGAAATGCTTAAATAGAACCTGACTTTAAGAAGAATACACAGCTGAAAACATTGGCTTAAATTTTTTTTTATTGATTTTTTTCATTTTTTATATGGTTTATGAGTTCTTCAGATCATAAAGACTTCATTGAATCATAGAATGGCTTTAGTTGGAAGGCAGCTTAAAGGTCATCTATTTCCAATCCCTGTGCCATGGACAGAGACACCTTCCTCTAGACCAGGTTGCTCAAAGCATCTTCTAACCTGGTCTTGAACACTATCAGGGATGGAACATCCACAAGTTCTCTGGGAAACCTGTTCTAGTGCCTCACCATCCTCACAGCAAAAAGTTTCTCCCTAAGGTGTAATCTAAATCTACCCATTTCAGTTTAAAACCATTATCCCTTGTCCAGTTGCTACACTCCCTGATGAAGAGTCTGTCCCCATCTTTCTTATAGGCCTCACTGAATTACTTAAAGGCTGCTATAAGTTCTCCCTGAAGCATTCCCTTCTCCAGGCTAAACAGCACCAATTCTCTCAGCCTGTCTTCATAGTAGAGGTGTTCCAGCCACCAATCATCTTTGTGGCCCTACTCTGGACCTTCTTGACCTGGTCCATATCTTTCTGATGCTGAGGACCCCAGAGCTGGATGCAGTACTCCAGGTGGGGTCTCCCCAGAGCAGAGTAGAGGGACAGAACCACCTCTCAGCCTCCTAGACATACTTCTTTTGATGCAGCTCAGGATGTGGTTGACTTTCTGGCCTGCAAATGCACATTCCTGGTTTATATTCAGTTCTTCCTCCACCAGTACCTCAAAGTTTTTCCTTACTTAATTGATTTCTTAAAATGCCTATCCCTCCTGATAAGCCTTTCTTCTTTTTATTATCCATTTAAGACAACAGTCTGACAGCTAGATAAACCTTACTAAACTGCAGAATGCAATAAAAAATAATAATTAGTTTCATAGATCACAGTGTCTCTTCATCTAGTCAACAATTTGTCATGTACTTTTGCCACTTTTGAACATAGGTGAAGAATCTAGACAGTTCTGTACATTGGATCCAATGGCAAAAGTTTAGCATTCCATGAAAAAATATATGCTATATCCTGCCCCTCATTTACCCTTGACTTAATTCTTGTGACAGATCACTGTTTTTATTTTCTGTTTCATTTCAACAGTGTTGGAAATAATCTCAATATGTATGGAAAACTGTGTTTTGTGAACACAGTTAACTCTGGTAATTAACTCTTCACTGTACGTGCTTCAAAACTGGAACGAGAACAGAATGTTTTATTGGGGGATGAACAGCAGCATTCAACACTACAGGAATTTTCA